CTATATCCAGTGATTGGCTTGTTGATATTTTTTTAAAAAGTATGTCATGAGTTTATAAATTAATAAAGATTTTTAAATTGTTACATTGTGTCTAGCTAATACTTTCCAGGTGTACCAAACAAAGTCTTGGTATGAAAATCAAGTCACATTTACAATACAATTATATTTTAAAATTAGTAATTTTAAGAGCACGATCAGGTATTTTCCTGTCTATTTAATTGAAGCAACTGAAATGGTCTTGGCTTCAGTAGTCTTGACTGTTGTGAAAACTCAATATGAAAAATATGTAAACATCATCCTCTATTCCCAGTGCATAATCATTCAATACATGTTAGCTGCTATTATTATTATTATAGTAAATTTTAATTTGAACTGATTTTTAACAAACTATTCTACATTATTTCTTCATCATTCTTTTAGATATTTAAAATATTAAAAATAAACATCTATGTTCCCACCACACAGAATCATCAACCATAACTTTTGTCATTTTTATTTTCAGCATTTTTAGCACATAAAGTGTCACAGATAAAGTTCATATCCCCTTTAACTATCACTCTCTGACCCAACACTGAATCCAGAGACAACTACCATGAGCTTGGTATGTATCACTCCACTTCACTTTAAAATATATTAAATATAATTTTTCAAATAAATATGATTAAATGGTCATGTAATCATATGTTTAAATTTCTCTGTCTTATTGGAGAGGAATTTAACCAGTGATCCTACAACCTGTGGGGACTAGCAGAATTCACTCAGTTATCAAAATCTAGGAAACGTCTGATATTCTGGTCCATAGGAGATTGTACCAAGCTCCAATATTTTTCATGCTTTGGTAACTAGACTTGTAGGAGAGTTCAGGCCAATCTACTGGGTACCAGCAAATGTTAACGTTTTTAGGTGAGATGTTAGTAACTTGTGAAAATACAGACAGCATGACATGATTTAATTACTGCAAAGTATTTCTAAGGCAGCAGCCCTCAACATTTTTCCCTACAATACACACTAAGATAAATAAAACACACTGAAAGTCGTATCTGAAGAATCAAAAGGAACAAATGACACTAACTGATCTCTTCAAGCTTCTGTTAATTTGAGTGCTTTGTTTGGGAGGAATGTGAATTAGAGTAGATCAAAAACTATTAAAGCATTATGGATGGAAGCTCAGCTGGAGTTGAGGTCTAGAAATTAGCATTTAGTTGTTGCAAGATGTGATTTCCTTTTCCCATTCTTTTCATCCTCATAAGCTATCAGAAAAACTATGCACTCCTAAGATGAGCACACACACACATGATGTAAAATATGATGATACCACTGAGATTGTGTTAGGACAAGGTATAGCATTACTGAGATGCTGGCAGAAGCTTTTTCATTCTCATCTTAAGATAAATGTTAGACACAGTGGTTTAAAAAAAAAAAAAAGGATGGAATTATAAAGATATATCATGGGTTGAGCGCAGTGGCTCACGTCTGTAATCCTAGCACTTTGCGAGGCCGAGGTGGGCAGATCACGAGATCAGGAGTTTGAGACCAGACTGGCCAATATGGTGAAACCCCATCTCTACTAAAAATACAAAAATTAGCCGGGCATGCTGGCGCTCACCTGTTGTCCCAGCTACTCAAGAAACTGATCTGATGCAGGAGAATCGTTTGAACCCAGGAGGGAAGTTGCATTGAGCCAAGATGTCACCACTGCACTCCACCCTGGGCGACAGAGTGAGACTCCATCTCAAAAAAAGAAAAAATATATATCACAAATAATCTCATTATCTGCCTTCTAGGATAGTGCCTGGTCATTTATAAGCTTATGGGGTTCACATATGGGCTAGATTTGGTAAGGACAGGTTTACAAGAATTATTTATTTAAATTGCTCATTTAGGGTGTTCAATCTTTTGGCTTCCCTGGGCCACATTGGAAGAAAAAGCATTGTCTTGGGCCACACATAAAATACACTAACAGTAACAATAGCTGATGAGGAAAAGAAAAGAAAAGAAAAGAAAAGTCTGTGCATAAAGCTCATAATCTTTTAAGAAAGTTTATGAATTTGTATTGGGCCACATTCAAAGCCATCCAGAGCCACACACAGCCCATGGGCTGCGGTTGGCCAAGCTTGATTTAGGGTATCTTGGTTCTCTTACCCAGAGACAAATGTCAGAATGCCAGTGACTCATAGGGAGACATCGTTCGGGTTATCTTTGAGTGGAAAAATAAAAATTTGGAATCTCCTCCAAATTAAAAAAAAAAAAGGAAAGATGAAGAATATTGAGTTTTTTGTATACCTGAAATGAAAAAAAAAGTAACTATTCATAGCCAAGACCAGTAACAGTGCCCCCCAAAAAAGTTATGTGCCTCAGATCTTGCTATTGTTTAATGCCTTTTTTTATCATTTAATGTCTTTTTACTGAAACTCCTAGTCAAATGTTCGTTTCTCATCTAAAGTCATTCCATTTTGAAATTATTAATTATATCCTTTCCTGATATTTGTCTTTCTCCGAAGAGGTAAAGCAAGGATATAGGGAAAGAAAAAGAAAATAACCGGTCTTTAGAAAAGTGCACCCTGGAAAATTTCTCTGACTATCCCTGCCTAGAGATGATTCTCTTTGTGATTTTCCTCACATTTTACCTGATGACTCATTGAGAAACATACATATTTCCTTGATTTCAGCTTCGATTTCCAGTTCCTCATACCAGTGTTTTTTCAGGGAGTCACGTTTTCATTACTAGATGTGAGCTTCACCACAAGCCTCATCCCTTCAATGTTGTGTGATCTTATCTGAGTCCCAGATAAGACTGTACCTATCTCTACCTACGTTTGCCATGAGCACTATCTTTTCCTGGCACTGGGGTGGAAGTGTATCCTCCTGACCATAAAGATATATGAGAAATGTACTGCAGTCTGCAAAATCCTGCACTAACTGTCATCATATACCCAAATATTTGGCAATGCTCTCATATTGCCCGTCTCGACCCAGACATTGCCCTACTATGTAGATACTATAGCCCTTGAGGCTTTTGTGTTTACCATCCTTATTATCCTTGTGCCACTCATTCGTATCCTTGTCTTTCATAGGGAAACTGCATGTAGTGACTTGATGTTTTATGAAATCAGATGCTCAAGGAAAGAAAACTTCCAACATTTATGTCTTCCCACCATGTGTCTCTCCTATGCCACCACAACATAGAGTGGTAATAGAGACAGACAGAAAAAGAGAGAGACAAACAGACGGAAATAGGTGCAGTTGTAGATTATGGATATACATAGCTCTCTAGCAAACAAACCTTACTTGCCAAAACTACAGCAAGCCTCTTAGTCTTTTTCAATATAATTGTTACTCTCGCTATCAATACTCTCATCAATACATGAATAAACCAAGGATGTAATGGAGTCTATAAAGACAAAGCTTGAGAGGTGTTAGGTGTCTTTTCTATAACCATCTTTAAACCCATGCACCATATATGTTGCCAGACTTAGTGTGATAAAGTTACGTTCTGGAAATGATGATGATAATAGGGAAGGTAGTAAGAGGCTTATTCATTACATGAAAGTGAAGTATTCCTGAGATGACTGTCCACCATGCCCATCTCTAAATCACCAGTTAATCAAAAAAGAGACTCTAGTTTAACAGTCTAGCACTTGTGAAACACTTGTTTTTATTGTAGAAACTAGATTTATTTTTTTGCTTTTGATCCCAGCAATCCCACTGAGCATGTATATAAAAAAAGAAATAAGGATCTTGAAGAGATGTCTATGCTCTCATGTTCATTGCAGCATTATTCATGATAGCCAGGATGAAGAAACAACCCAAGCATCCACTGACAGAGGAATGGATTTAAAAAATGTCATTTCACACACACGCACAAACACACACACACTGAAATATTATTCAACCATGAAAAAGAAGAAAATCTTGCTGATTTTTAGAACACAGATGGAGTACGTTGTACTACGTGAAATAAACCAGACACAGAAAGACAAAAGATGTATGATATGCCTTACATGTGAAATCTAAAAACTTTGAACTCGGACAGGCACAATGGTTCACACCTGTAATCCCAGCACTTTGGGAGGCTGAGGTAGGTGGATCATTTCAGGTCAAGGGTTCAAGACCCTCCTTGCCAAAATGGTGAGACCCTATCTCTACTAAAAATACAAAAATTAGCTGGGCATGGTGGTGGGTGCCTGTAGTCCCAGTTACTGGGGAGGCTGAGGCAGGAGAATTAATTGAAGCCAGGAGGCAGAGGTTGCAGTGAGTCGAGATCGCACTCCAGCCTGTGTGACAGAGTAAAAATAAAAAGGTTGAACTTATAGAAACAGAGAATAGAATGGTGGTTGCCATGGGCTGGAGGGTGGGGAGTGGAGAGACAGTCAAATGGTACAAACTTTCTGTCAGATGAATACATTCTGGAGATCTAATGTAGATTATGGTGACTGTAGTTAATAATACTGTACTGTATACTTGAAATTTGCTTAGAGATTAGATCTTAAGTGTCCTCAACCTCCCCGTTCCCTCTACACACAGTAACTAGGTAAGATAATGGATGTGTTAGTTTGATTATAGTAATAATTTCACAATTTGGTTTGATTTCTATATAATCACATTGTGCACATTAAATATATGCAATTTTATTTATGCCTCAATAAAATTGGAAAAAATAAAAATGAAGAATTTTTAAAATAACACTATTCAGCAAAGGACAATGATGTTAAGAGTTTGAAGCTATCTTCAACACGTCATTAACTACACCAACTAAAGCAAATTAAGCACATATTCTGTTTTGTTTCATTTACTAGCATTGTCTTCCTACAGGAGCCATCAAGTGGTATTTACTTTCAGAGTTTATGGCTAAACATCTTGTTTGTTTTTCACTTTTTTATTTTTTTTTAGATGGCACCTCGCCCTGTCACCCAGGCTGGAGTGCAGTGGCACAATCTCTGCTCGCCACAACCTCTACCTCCCAGGTTCAAGTGATTCTTCTGCCCCAGCCTCTGAGTAGCTGGGACTACAGGCGTGTGCCACCACATCTGGCTAATTTTTTTGTATTTTTAGTAGAGATAGGGTTTCCCCATGTTAGCCAGGATGGTCTCGATCTCCTGACCTCATGATCCACCTGCTTCAGCCTCCCAAAGTGCTGGGATTACAGGCGTGAGCCACCGCGCTTGGCCTTGTTTTTGATTTTTAAAAAGTGAAAGATTTACACAATCTGAAGAGTAATCAGAGTTTATTGTTTCTGACTTTTAAAAGCTATCTTAATTTATTAGCATTACCCCCAGTGACAAATTAAGCCATGAACGGATACTTCATCTTTTACGTTGCCATTTTTCCGGACAGAGGGACAGAGAGTGTGTTCTGTTCAGACAGAGTATGTTATATTTATACATGTTAGCAAGAATTTCACAAACTGGGAGAGACTACACATTCAATAAGATTTAGCTAATAAAGAATAAGTTAATGAATAAATGGACAGATGAATAAATGAGCCATTTTAAAGAGATATTAGTTTACTGTTCAGCGTGACAAGTATGTAGACTTACAGGATAAATTAGATGATTTAGTGTCTTTAAAAAGTGTCTTTCAGCCAAAAACTTATGATACATCCTTTACCATATAATAAACAATATTATTCATTATGGTTACCGTTTCTCTTTGCTGTGACTATTTTTAGCTTCATTTAAGGTTTATTCAATAACCAAAAACTTTTTTAGCCTAATCTTTGCAATATTGCCCTTCTCTTTCTGTATACATCAATAGTCAATTCATAATTTAGCACACTGTTAAAAATTCCAACATTTTTGAAATAATCTCCTCATAACTATTCACACACACATTTATTTATGTTGAAACCACAATCCACAATTGTCATGGAAATAAAATATAGAATTGTAAAAGACCAAAGTGGCACTAATCAAAAACTTTATCTCAACATAATATTTCAGAACTAAATAATAAAAAGAGCAACAAATGTGAGACTGAACTATTCCATGTTTTGTGAGCTGTTAGAACAAAAATAAATCACAAAAAAGCAGAGAAACCATCTTTCAAGATGGACGAGACCCTAAGAAAAACAATAACAGCCAACATGATTTCTCTGTCACATCCCCCACTCCCACCCCATTAGTCTCTTCACTGCCCTTCTTACATCCTTGTTTCTGAGCGTGTAGATCAAAGGGTTAAGACTAGGTGTGACAACAGTATAAAAGAGGGCAATGAACTTGCCTTGATCAGGAGAATTTTCTGATGGTGGCTGGAGATATATGCACATGACTGGAATGAAAAAGAGAGATACAACCATAAGATGGGCTCCACATGTTCCAAACACTTTCTGAAGCCCAGTGGTTGATTGCATGCTCAGTACAGCCCAGGCAATGGCACCATAGGAAGTGAGAATGAGAATGAGAGGTATAAGAACAAAAATAGAGCTCATGACCATGAGGATCAGCTCATTTGCATGGATGTCAACACATGATAAACGCAGAAGTGCTGGAACTTCACAGAAGAAGTGATCCACTAGGCGATGTCCACACAGAGATATCCAGAAAGTAAAGGAGGAATGAAGTGCTGAGATAGTAAAACCACTTACCCAAGAAGCCGCAGCCAACAAGCGGCAGAAACGAGGGTGCATGAGGACAGTGTAATGCAAAGGTCTACACACAGCTGCATAACGATCATAGGACATCACCACCAGTAGGACACACTCTGCAATTCCCAGTGCGAGAACAAAGTAAAGTTGAATCATGCAACCAGCATAAGAGATGGTCTTTTCCGGGCCCCAGAGGTTGACCAGCAACTGAGGGATAGAGCTGGTTGTGTAGCAGAGATCCAGAAATGAGAGGTTTGAAAGGAAGAAGTACATGGGAGTGTGGAGATGGGAGTCCAGGTATGACAGGATGATGATGAACAGGTTTCCTGTCAGTGTCATTAGGTAGAAGATCAAGATAACCACAAAGAGAACTACTTCCAGATGAGGCCAATTAGAAAATCCAAGTAGAATAAAGAAGTCTTCAGAACTTGCGTTTTTTTCCATCATCATTCATTTTTTTCTTGTACCTAAAGAAAGAATCATATAAACTCAAAGTCTGCCCATGCATTGTCAATTGCTCACTTGCAAACAGATTGAAGACAAATCCCACTTCCAGACAGTGTGCATCATGTCAGTAGAATTTTTATACAGTTCCCTTTACATGCTTCATTGAGATATTTATCCAGCTATGGATACAAGCAATAGCTTCTCGAGTTACTGAGTTCTTTTGTATACATTCCTGAGTTAACATTTGGATTAATGAAGACTATGATATTCCATAATCAGGAACACAATATTTATGAAAAATAATTTTTTACTTTAAAAAGTTAATTTGATTATTTTTATATTTTCAGGCTATTTCCAATTTTGCAATTACAGAAAAAGGAATAAGAGCAGTCTTAATAATCTTACTTACAGATAGGAATTTCCCACATTAAAAAGCAATTAGGCAGTCACTTTAAAATATTAACTGAAAAGAAATAATTGAATATGATTATAGAAAAAATTAACTGCCATTTATTTATGCTAGCAGTTTATTTCTAGACAAATAATACACAAATGAAAGTTTAAACAGAATAGGCACACCAGCTTATAAAAATTCACAATATACACAAAACTGATTAATAAAACAAAACAGAGTAATCGGTGATAGAATGCTTCCAAAGGTAAATGAAACTGTATTACTGGAAGATATAAAGATTACAGAGTCTAACAAAAACATAGGTTGGTAAGAGAGAAAGGGACAGTGTTTGGATGCACAACAGAGAAGAGGAGGTCTGAATGTGGTATTTGAAGTTGAAAGAATGTATAACAGGATTGTTTGACAGGGATAAGAAGACTTAAACATGGTTTCTACAAAATTTTATATGCTCTAGGCCAATAACTGAACTATACTTTAAATTCTGAGTCACAATTTATAATTTGTATTTTCTGGGGTTTCTACAATTTTTAATGGAGCTTCTGAACAGACATTAATATTAGTAGAAAGATACATGAACATTGTATAAAATCCAGAAAATTCACCTTGTAGTTATTTTTTAAAAATAAAGAAATTCAAATATGCTTTGATAGTTTCATTTTCAGTTGCTTATTTTCTCTTGCACACTACCAATCTTGCATGAGAAAGATAAACACTTTTATGATATAGTTTTTGCAATAAAATACAGGAACCCAGCATTTCAATATTCCTAAATAGCATTGCCATCCCCCTTCTGCTCCCCTCCTGCCACAACCAACTCTTCCTCTTGTACTCTCTGATAAATTTGGCAAAAGAGGCCGGGTGTGGTGGCTCATGCCTGTAATCCCAGCATTTTGGGAGGCTGAGGCAGGTGGAACACCTGAGGTCAGGAGTTCGAGACCAGCCTGACCAACATGGTGAAACACCGTCTCTACTAAAAAATACAAAAATTAGCCAGGCATGGTGGTGGACACCTGTAATACCAGCTACTCTGGAGGCTGAGGCAGGAGAATCACTTGAACCTGGGAGACAGAGGTTGCAGTGAGCTGAGATCGCACCATTGCCCTCCAGCCTGGGTGACAGAGCAAGAATCTGTCTCAAAAAAATAATAATGATAATAAGGCAAAAGACAAATTCATCTACACCCGACTCACCTTCCGTGTTTTGAAAAACTTTTAGTACTCAAATATTGTAATCTTGACTCTTGCAAAAGATGTAAGGAGTTGTCTAATTGGTTGAGTTACAGCTGGAGAGCTAGGAACATTAAACTCAGGCCAAATCTAGGCAAATGCTCCAGAGAGGTACAAAGATACTGTACATTTTTCCATATTGTTGGTAATGGAATGAGCATTAACCTTTTGAGAAATCATGGAAAAATTCCAAGAATTTTTTAAAAATCTCCCTAGGATTAAAGGTAATATGCCATAAGATACTTGAACTCAAATACTGTGGATACTTTTGCTGATGTAGACCTAATTTTCTTTCCTATTGCAGCTGCCTGAGTTCCTTATTACAGTAATTAAAAGGTGGAATCTGGTAACTATCTGTTGTATGACTCATCTTTCCGCATTCCTCCAGAGGTGATAAAAGGGATAGGAAATAAGGAACCAAAAAAAAAAAAAAAGAAAACCCAGAACTCATGTAGAGAAAAGTTTGCAGCTTCGATTTTCTTCTTGGTGGAAAAGAGGGAAATGAAGACCCTATCAAATGTAGCTTCTACGAGCTATAGAATAAAATACCTTCTCTCTTCTTTTAAATCAAACACTGTAGGGAAAATGGATGGCTGAGTGTCTCTTCCTTCCCCAATTATTATTAAGAGACATTTTGCCAATTTGTGTCACATCCATTCCTTTATACTATATCTGGTTTGTTTTCTTAATTTTTCATTGACTAGTAATAATTACATATATTTATGGAGTACATTGTAATGTTTTGATGTATATATACATTACAGAATGATTATATTAAGCTAGTTAATATATCCATCACCTCACAACCATCATATTTTTGTAGTAAGAACATTTAAAATCTACACTTCCTGCGATTTTGAAATATGGAAGCTGTCTACCCCTTAAGAAGTGCACCAACTTCTTTCAGTACTGACCTTCCTGTGCTTGTCCCTGTTCCCTGTCACTCTCCTCCTGACCTATGACCTCATCATGTATAAACTGACGAAGGGGCGCTCTGGTTGCCGTACAACCTAAAAACATCAACCTAATTGCCTTCTTATAACATTTTTGCCAATGTTTTAAATCTAACTATGAAGAACAGAGTCTGGAAATAACTGTGATTGTCATTGCTACGGAAAAGACAGCCTGAGTTTGTTCAAAAGATCTGCTTTTTAGCAGAATGTGGGAATATTTTAGGGCATTCAAGGCATCAGGGGATGGACCCTTTATCCCAGAGTAAATGCAATCTTTATGGAAACAAAAAGAATAATGGGATACTCTTTCGTTAATTGGGGCCTTTGGGAGTACAAATCCCAAAGCTGCAATTAATGCCCTTCAAGGAGTTGTCCTGGTGTGATGTTCTCAGTACAAAACTCTTCACAGAAATATCTTCAGCATGATGTTATAGTCTTACTGAGATGATAGTGAATTTATCACCAACAAACATGGGAAAAGATGCTGTGAGTTACATTTACAACGAAAGGAACAGGTTTTACTGAGCTGTCTGATTTTTTCAGTTTCCCATGGGGCTAAGGGTCAAATTTACAAGACAACTGGAAAAAAAGGAGAGACTTGAGAGCCATTCAACAGAAAAACTAAAATACATAAAGACTAAACTGTTCCTTATTAATGAGGTGCTCTTTGAGACTGACCTATATTATTTATGCCTTCCGAGTTGTCTTTTAAATTCAATTCCAAGATTTTTCCTACAACAGGTGAAAAAAATCTTAAACATTACTCCAGTCTTTTATTATTTTAATTGACAAATAACAATTTTATATATTTATTAGGTACAATGTGATCTGTTGATATATATGTGTGTGTGTGCGCGTGTGTGTGTGCGTGTACAATATGGAATGATTAAGTCCAATTAACACAGTCATCACCTTACTTATTTTTCTTATAGTGAGAATATTTAAAATCTACTTGTTTAAAATCCCCCTTTCTCCATCCCCTGCCCCCCAGGTAGCTATCATTCTACTCTGCACCTGTATGAGTTTAACTTTTTTAGATTCCACATATGAGTGAGATCATGTGGTATTTGTCTTTCTGTGCCTGGCTTCTTTCACTTCGTATAATGTCCTGCAGGTTCATGAATGTTGTTGTGAAGACAGAATTTCCCTTTAAGGCTGAATAGTATTCCATTTTATATAGATACTATGGTACATGTATATATATATCACATTATATCCCTTTTATATATTTACCTGTTTATCCATTGATGGACATTTAAGGTCCTTCCATATCTCAGCTATTGTGAAAAATGCTACAATGAACATGATAGTGCAAATATCTGTAGTGAATTCTTATGATTTTATATTGCCTCAGCATTCATTTTCAATATATAGTTGAAATTTCTCATACCAGAAGCAGGGCTTAGTCACCCTTATCACAATTTTGAGTTCTCCTCTCCTCCCAGTTTCTCAAGGTGGTCAATCCAGATATTTGGCCTCTTGGTTTCCACCTCCCTATGGGACACCTAGATAAAACCTGCTTGACTTACCCCACTGATCCCCACACCCCACATGGACCGCAGATTTGTGGCAGTGAACACCTCTCAATACAACATGACTCCCAAGAACTCGGGCCTGCTTGCTCTAAACCCACCAATCAGTTACTCTCTGCTTGGGTAATGCTGTGTAACCCAATAAGGGCTTTGGCCTTCTCGGCTGTCACTCACTCTTGCTACCCACCCACTGGTTGAGCATGCGTGTCTCTAAGGGATGACCTTTCTCCCATTAGGCCTGTGATGCAAGTTGCCCTCTTCTCTCTGGAATCTTTAAGTAATAAAACCTTTTCCCCTTTTTTTTTTTTTTTTTTTTTTTTACGTGTCTTCTTGGCATTGCACCTGACTGACACACCTGAAATTAATAATTTTTTCCGGACAAGGCTCTCTTAGAAAGTGGTGATTTTGGTAGGAATGAACTGGACACTAGTCAGGCAAGAGCCACAAGTGTGTCTGCCAGTGAAAACAAGTTCCAGTGAGAGGAACACCTGGTCATAAATAGGATAATTAGGCATTAGCTCTCCATCAGGATAAGGAAGTATTCCATGAAAAGAACACCAAAAACATCCACAACCACAACCACCTCCACTGGAGCCCATGAGAGGCAGGCTAGAGTTTCTAGCCACTCTTCAAAGAGAGACATTAAAACGAAATTAGAGGAAAATCTGACCTTTTTTTTTGAGATAGAGTCTCGCTCCGTAGCCCAGGCTGGAGTGCAGTGGCACAATCTCAGTTCACTGCAAACTTCGCCTCCCAGGTTCAAGCAATTATCCTGTCTCAGTCACCTGAGTAGCTGGGACTACAGGTGCAAACCACACCCTGCTAATTTTTTTGTATTTTTAGTAGAGATGGGGTTTCACCATATTGGTCAGGCTGGTCTCTAACATATTTTTAAAATACAAATTTCAATCTCTTTGGCTATGTACCCAGAAATGTGATTGCTGGATTATATGGTAATTCTATCTTTAGTTTTTTGAGGAATCTCCATGCTGATTTCAATAATGCCTGTATTAATTTACATTCCTGCCATTAGTATATAAGGATTCCCCACATCCTTGTCAGTACTTATTACCTTTTAGTTTTTTGATAACAGTCATTCTAACAGGTATGAGGTGATATCTCTTTATGGTTTTAATTTGCATTTCCCTGATGATTAGTGATATTGAAAAACTTTTGTATATAGCTATTGGTCTTTTGAAAGATGTCCATTCAAGTCCATTGCTCAGTTTTAAATGGGGTTCTTTGTATTCTTGCTAACAAATCAAGTTCTTTGCATTTCTTACATATTTTGGATATTAGCCATGTATGATTTGTAAATATTTTCTCCCAGTCTATGGGTTGTCTCTTCAATCTGTTATTTACTTTGTTGTAGAGAAGATTTTGGTTTGAGGTAATCCCGTTTGGCTACTTCTGCTTTGGTTTCCCGAGCTTTTGAGACCATCACCAAGAAAGTATTGCCAAGATTAATTTCAAGGACATTTTTCCCTATGTTTTCTTCTAGTAGTTTTACATTTTCAGGTCTCGAATTTAAATCTTTAAACCATTTTTAGTGGACTTTGCACATATGGTGTGAGATAATGGTTCAATTTCATTCTTCTGTATGTGGGTATTCGATTTCCCCAGCATTATTTATTAAAGAAGCTGTCCTTTCCCCATAGTGTACTTATTCTTGGCATCTTTGGCAAAAATCAATTAATCACAAATACATGAGTTTATGTCTGGGCTCTCTATCATGTTACATTGGTCCATGTGTCTGTTGTTATGCCAGTACTTTTCTGTTCTGAATACTATAACTTTGTAATATATTTTGAATCAGGTAGTGTGATGCCTCCAGCTCTATTCTTTTTGCTGAAAAGTGCTTTAGCCACTTAAGATTTTTTATCATTCCATATGAATTTTTTAATTGCTTTTTCTATTTCTGTGAAACAAAAAGGTCATTAGAACTTTTATAGGAATTGCATTGAATCTGTATACCACTTTCGGCAGTACAGACATTTTAATAATATTAATTCCTCCAATCCATGAACCATCAGGTTCTGGGCTTTTCTTTGGTAGGAGACTTTTATCACTGATTCAACCTCCTTACTCATTAGTCTGTTCAGATTTTCTATTTTTTCATGATTCATTCTTGTTATGTTTCTAGAAATCTAACCATTTCTTCTAGGTCATCTTATTTGTTGGTGTAAAACTGTTCATAGTGTTATTTATGATCTTTTGTACTTCTGTAGTTTCAATTTTAATGTCTCCTCTTTCATTTCTTATTTTATTAGAGTCTTCTTTTTCTCTTAGTTGGTCTACTAAAGTTTTGTCAATTGTTTTTGTCTTTTCAAAAACCGAACTGTTAGTTTTGTGAATGTGTTCTTTTGTTTTGTAGTCTCTTATTTATTTCTGCTCTGATCTTTGTTATTTCCTTCCTTCTGCTAACTTTGGGATTCGTTTGTTCTCTTTTTCTAGTTTCTTGAAATGTAACGTTAGGTTGTTTGGGATCTTTCTTCTTTTTTAATATAGGCATTTATTACTATAAACTTTCCTCCTGCTAAGAACTTCTTTTGTTACCTCCCATAAGTTGTGGTACATTGTGTTTTCATTTTCATCTGTCTTAAGATATTTTTTAATTTCTATTTTGATTTCTTCATTAACCCATTGTTTATTCAAGAGCATGTTGGTTAATTTCCATGTTTGTAATATTTTCAAACTTTCTCCTATTATTTCTATTCATTTCTACTTTCATACTTTTGTGGTCAGAAAAGATACTTGATATGATTTCAATCTTCCAATCTTCTTAAAATTGTTGAATCTTATTTTGTTACCTAATATTTGATCCTGGATAATGTCCCATTGCACTTAAGAAGAATGAATGAATATTCTGTTGCTGTTGGATGAAATGTTCTGTATATGTCTGTTAGGTCCATTTGGTCTAAAGTGTGTCAAGTCCAGTGTTTCCTTATTGACTTTTGTCTAGATGATAAGTCCACTGTTGAAAGTGAAGTAATGAAATCCTCTGCTATTATTGTATTGCAGTCTATCTCTTTTCAGGTCTACTAATACTTTATATGTTGAGGTTGTCTTATATTAGGTGCATATATATTTACAATTGTTAAGTCCTTTTCATGATTTGACCCTTTTATCATTATGTAATGACCTTTGTCTCTTTTAACAGTTTTGGACTTAAAGTTCATCTAAGTACAGCTACTCTTGTCTTTTGCTTTCCACTTGCATGAAATAATTTTTTCAATCAATCTGTGTTCTTCAAGTTAAAGTGAGCCTTTTACAGGCAGCCTGCATCTGCGTATTGTTTTTCAGTTTCTTTCCAATGCAAAGCATTTTAGTAGGTTGTCAAATATACAATTATTAGAAAATCTAAATATTACCTGTAAAAACTAGTTATATCACATTAGATAATTCTATAAAATAAGGAAACACAAATCACACATTGCCAATAACCTCTGCAGTCCAATAATATCCCCCATCGATAGTAGAAATTGCAAACGCATTTTTAAAATAAAGAAATGATTTAGACATTTAAACCAAAGCAACCATAGCTAACCTAAATACATTCATTCCTCAAGTACAATAAATTAAGCATTGCTACTTATAGTCACTAACAACAAAATTTTAGGTTCAATTT